GTTCTGACAGTCCCATTGACTCATTTACAGTTTTTCTATTACACAATAAGAACATGATTGGATGGAAATGTATAAAACCATTTTACTTTAGATTTCAAACAGTGTCCGATAGCATCTGCTATGAGGTCAAGAGGTCAAAGCTGAAAGAAAAAAAGAAGTATCATGGTAAAGAGAGACAAAAATGCAACGTCCTCTTATGAGGACACAGGGTCTCAGGAGGTTAATGTGGCAGGGTCAAAAGCGAACGGTGAAAGGGGGGCGGGACGCGGAGGTTTTTGTGATTTTCCTCGCTCATACCTGAGCTGGGGCTGATCCCGGCAGAGCTCCATGTTGGGCCTGAGGGAGCGTTGGTGGAGTCTGGACTCGGCCACTCTGAGCGGAGCCTCTTTGTTATGGACGGCCTGCTGCAGGGCCACGATGTTCCTCTCCTGGGCTCCGATTTGCTCCAAAATCTACACGCAGGATAGCATAACCAGTATAACTAGATGGTATAGCATCAGTCATTCTGCTCCTGTTTTGGTCGGCTCGCCTACCCTGTTTCTGAAGTCTTTTGGATATGAGACTTTTTACATCATTCAGTGGTAAAAGCTTTGCTCAAACCCCTGTTGTACACATTCAGATATACCTGATAACAGCCAGTAGAAGACTACACCAAAAATATATTTTTGACTTATTGCACGCTAATTTGATCAAAATAATTTCTGTTTTTTTTCTTCATATGTTGTTGAGGGGCCAAAGAAAGACTTCAGACTAAAAAAATCCAATATTCTTCCAATTTTTCTTGGATCAGGCTTTAAAGGGTTAAGCACTTTGTAGGCCAGAATCAGGGACCTGGATTTGAAACGGGCAGCTAGAAGTAACCAGTGGAGTTCAATGAACAGAGGGGTGACGTGAGATTTTTCGGGCTGATTGTAGACCAGACGCACCGCCGCGTTCTGGATGATTTGTAAAGGTTTGGGAGACCAGTCAGGACCAGACCAGTGGGAGATGACCGTAGACTGCACTGCCTACCTGAGCCAGCTTCATCTCCAGCTGCGTTTTGGCCTCGCTGAGCTCCAGGCTGCGCTGGCCGAAGGCCCGGTCCACGATGGAGCACTGCACCCTCAGATCCTCCGTGGTGTCCCTCAGCATCCGCTCCACCAGCAGCCTGACACACACACACACACACACACACACACACACACACACAC